GCACATATATATAGACTGGGCCACAGCAACGTGTGGCAGGGGATGGCTAGTATTATATATTATCTATATAAATAAAAATGTAATGTTCGTTTGTGGGATTAACATAACCCTAACGAGTGACCATCACTCATAAAAACAGTGAAAAACACAACACAAGAGACTTAAAAAGCCAAAAACCAAAAAATTACATTACAATGCATGTGCACAACCACATATATACACAAAACACATATATACACAAATACACAAATATATACACAAATAAACAAATATATACACACACATATATGCATATATACACACACAAAACACATATACACAGACTGGGCCACAGCAACACGTGGCAGGGGATGGCTAGTATTATATATAATGTATATATATCAGGCATGGACATCCCCCGCAAATGGCCATCCAGCCTTTGTAACAACAACAACAGCAGCAACAACAACAATAGGAGCAACCACAGCGGCCATCTAGTCCAATCCCCCATGCCATGGAGGAAAAGCACAATCAAAGCATCCTCAACAGATGGCCACCTAGCCATTGTAACAACAACAACAACAGGAGCAACCACAGGGACCATCCAGTCCAACCTCCTTCTGTCATTCAGGAAAAGCACAATCAAAGCATCCCCAACAGATGCCATCCAGCCTTTGTAATAATAATAATCTTAATAGTAATAGTAATAATAATAATAATAATAGGAGCAACCACAGGGGCCATCTAGTCCAAAAAACTCCTGCCATGGAGGAAAAGCACAATCAAAGCATCCCCAACAGATGGCCATCCAGCCTTTGTAATAATAATAATAATAATAATAATAATAATAATAATAAGGAGCAACCACAGGGGCCATTCAGTCCAACCCCCTTCTGCCATTCAGGAAAGGCACAATCAAAGCATCACCAACAGATGGCCATCCAGCTTTTGTAATAATAATAATACAACAACAACAACAACAGCAACCCTAGGGGCTATTCAGTCCAACCCCTTCTGCCATGCAGAAAAGCACAATCAAACACCCCCAACAGATGGCCATCAACCTTTGAAATAATAATACTCTAATAATCCCACAATAACTTGTACTCATCTACTCGGAGCGGACCCAGGGGCCCTTCGTTTTTCCAAACCACCACCTCTCCATGGAGGCCCAGCACATGTAGCACTGACACTAAAGCACTCGGCAGCTCCCCCCAACGCTGGTCACCAGCCTTTGCACACCACTCATAATAACACTACACCAAAACATCCCACACTAATAGGAGCAACACAGGCGCGCACTCTATGTCCACAATCCCCCTCTGTACGGCGGAAAAGCCAAGCACCCACTCCCGAACACTCACCCCACGCATGGCACCCCTCCACGCCGTCTCTGTCCTCCTCCATGTACTAGTCCCAATCGCTACACCTACATTAACTAATTTTATATCAATTAAGCAATGAAAATGCCACATTTAGACCAAGACCTCACACCAACAGGTCTCGGAACCGCAACACTTCATTCACTCGAGTACTCCCAGCTTGCGCCATGGGAGGGACCACACCCCTATGAGCTACACCCATTCACACACACCGCACCTTACATATTACCCAGCTCCCCATGGTTTTATCTTTATTTGTCTCATGCACCTCATTCCCGTTATTGTAAGTACCCAATTCTAATTAGTCACATCCACCACTCTACAACAATATGTACTTACAGACACCCTTATACTACATGACACTATACTTTTATATTGTAACATCAACTATCCCCCCCGTGTCACCGACACCAAACACCACAAAGGCAACCCATATCACACTTCCACACAATTATTTCACACCATACCACACCTGTTCGCACACACAACCACGATAAAACATGTCATACGACAACTATGCAGACAGCTATTCCTAAACCAGCATTGGCCATCTCCAGCCTTTGTTAGAGTAATAATAATAAGTATATGTAGATTACTTTTACACCTAGACCCCACCACCCACAGGGGCCATCTAGTCCAAAAAACTCCTGCCATGGAGGAAAAGCACAATCAAAGCATCCCCAACAGATGGCCATCCAGCCTTTGTAATAATAATAATAATAATAATAATAATAATAATAATAATAGGAGCAACCACAGGGGCCATTCAGTCCAACCCCCTGCCATGGAGGAAAAGCACAATCAAAGCATCCCCAACAGATGGCCATCCAGCCTTTGTAATAATAATAATAATAATAATAATAATAATAATAATAATAATAATAGGAGCAACCACAGGGGCCATTCAGTCCAACCCCCTTCTGCCATTCAGGAAAGGCACAATCAAAGCATCCCAAACAGATGGCCATCCAGACTTTGTAATAATAATAGTAATAATAACAACAACAACGCTTAAGTGAATGAGGGGGAAATGGAAGGGGTCTGAGGCTGTGGGAATGGTGGGAGTTGGAGTCCAAAACACCTGGTGGGAGGGAGAGGGGCCAAGTTGGGCCATTCCTGGTGTAGATGCGTTATAGGGGTTTCCTGGCCCCCCAAACGCACCCCCTTTGTGAGACAGCCACCCAATGCAACCCAACAGTAGTGGCGGGGGGTTCCTGCTTGCTTATCTGCTTGCTTTCTTGCTTTGGGGGCAGCAGGACCCCTCCACTTGGAGGCTTCCCTTCTTGGCTTCAGAGGAGGCGAGTCTCTTGGCCAGGCTCCATCCAGAGAGGCGGGAGCCAGCCTCGCCTTGGAAACCCCAGCCTCCCTCTTCCATTGGCTATTGGAGGACTGTGAGTGACATCTGGGATGGAGGGGAGGGGGGATAGGAGAGAGGGGGGACAACCTAGAGGAGGGGTGGGAGCTTCACGCTGATTGGCTGCCCTGGCAAGCGGGGGGCGTGTCCTGATGGAGGGGGGACTATTCTTCCAACTCTGGGACCAGTCCTGCTCCTCTTTGGTGGTCAGTTCACTTTCGGGTCCGGCTCTTGCTTCTCTGGAGGTGGGCAACCGCTTGAGTCGGGGGTCCCAAGGAAGGAGAAAGGAGGGAGAGAAGTAGGTGTAAGGCTGGCTATTGCAGATGCTCCTGGAGCCCTCAAGGGCTCTCAAGTCATCTCCAAACTTTTCAAGCTGCTTTCTGAACCTTCTCCAACTGGAGCTTGAGAACTTCTTTCCCAAATTCTTTCTACCTTCTTCTTCAGGATCTGGTCCTTTCTGGGCAGGTGGGGTGGGCACACCTTGAGTTGGACACTCTTGTCATTGTCTTCTCCTTGTTCTTCTTGCAATCTTCCCCAAAGCAGGTAAGCATTTGCTTCTATCGTTCTCAAGAGTTCTCAAGACTTATCTCCAAACTTTTCAAGCTGCTTTCTGAATCTTCTGCAATTTCTTTTCCAAGTTGTTTTGAGCTTCTTCTCCAGGATCTGGTTCTTTCTGGGCATGTGGGATGGACACGCCTTGGGTAGGACACTCTTACATTGTCTTCTCCTTGTTCTTCTTGCCAACTTCACCAAAGCAGGTAAGCATTTGCTTCTATCGTTCTCAAGGCTCATCTCCAAACTTTATGAGCTGCTTTCTGAACCACCTCCAACTTCTTTTCCAAGTTGTTTTGATCTTCTCCAGGATCTGGTCCTTTCTGGGCAAATAGGGTGGGCACGTCTTGAGTTGGACACTCTTGTCATTGTCTCCTCCTTGTTCTTCTTGCCAGCTTCCCCAAAGCAGGTAAGCATTTGCTTCTTTAGTTCTCAAGAGTTCTCAAGACTGATCTCCTAACTCTTCAAGCTGCTTTCTGAACCTTCTCCAACTGGAGCTTGAGAACTTCTTTCCCAAGTTCTTTCTACCTTCTTCTCCAGGATCTGGTCCTTTCTGGGCAAGTGGGGTGGGCACACCTTGAGTTGGACACTCTTGTCATTGTCTTCTCCTTGTTCTTCTTGCAATCTTCCCCAAAGCAGGTAAGCATTTGCTTCTATCGTTCTCAAGACTCATCTCCAAACTTTTCAAGCTGCTTTCTGAAACTTCTGCAACTTCTTTTCCAAGTTGTTTTCATCTTCTTCTCCAGGATCTGGTCCCTTCTGGGTAAGTGGGATGGACACGCCTTGGGTAGGACACCCTTACATTGTCTTCTCCTTGTTCTTCTTGCAGGTAATTCTTCTGTGGTTCTCAAGAGTTCTCAAGAGTAATCTCCAAACCTTTCAAGCTGCTTTCTGAACCTTTTCCAACTGGAGCTAGAGAACTTCTTTCCCAAGTTCTTTCTATCTTCTTCTCCAGGATCTGGGCAAATGGGGAGGGCACATCTTGGGTAGGACACTCTTGTCATTGTCTTCTCCTTGTTCTTCTTGTAAAATCCCCCAAAGCAGGTATGGTTTGCTATTGCAAATGCTTCTGGAGTTCTCAAGAGTCATCTCCAAACCTTTCAAGCTGCTTTCTGAACCTTTTCCAACTTGAGCTTGGGACCTTCTTTCCCCAGTTCTTTCTATCATCTTCTCCAGGATCTGATCCTTTCTGGGTAATTGGGGTGGGCACACCTGGGGTTGGACACTCTTGTCATTGTCTTCTCCTTGTTCTTCTTGCAAACTTCCCCAAAGCTGGTAAGGTTTGCTATTTCAAATGCTTCTGTAGCTCCCAAGGGTTCTCAAGAGTCATCTTCAAACCTTTCAAGCTGCTTTCTGAACCTTCTCCAACTGGAGCTTGGGAACTTCTTTCCCCAGTTGTTTTGATCTTCTCCAAGATCTGGTCCTTTCTGGGCAAGTGGGGTGAGCACATCTTGGGTTGGATACTCTTGTTTTTGTCTTCTCCTTGTTTCTTGCAAACTTCCCTAAAGCAGGTGAGGTTTGGTTCTGCAGCTCTCAAGAGTTCTCAAGAGTCATCTCCAAACCTTTCAAGCTGCCTTCTGAATCTTCTCCAACTGGAGCTTGAGAACTTCTTTCCCAAGTTCTTTCTATCTTCTTCTCCAGAATCTGGTCCTTTCTGAGCAATTGGGGTGGGCATGCCTTGGGTTGGACACTCTTGTCATTGTCTTCTCTTTTTTCTTCTTGCAAAGCAGGAAAAGGTCAACTCGGACTCTGAAGCCAACTTCTAAAACTCTTTGGTTGGACTCTCTCTCGCAATGGGCACCTCTCTCCACGCAAGGGATGCTGCTGAAAGGATGCCATGGGCCAACTTCTTCATGGCGATGGTGGCCATCTCCTTCCTCATCTTCCTAGGCCCCGCCGTGGCCAACGAGTATGACTACGTGAGCTTCCAGTCGGACATCGGCGCCTACCAGACGGGCCGCTTCTACACCAAGCCGCCCCAGTGTGTTGCCATCCCGGCCGACCTCCGCCTGTGCCACAGTGTGGGCTATGACAAGATGGTCCTGCCCAACCTCCTGGACCACGAGACCATGGCCGAGGTCAAGCAGCAAGCCAGCAGCTGGGTGCCCTTGCTGAACAAGAACTGCCACATCGGCACCCAGGTCTTCCTCTGCTCCCTCTTTGCCCCCGTCTGCCTGGACCGGCCCATCTACCCGTGCCGATGGCTCTGCGAGGCCGTGCGGGACTCTTGCGAGCCCGTCATGCAGTTCTTCGGCTTCTACTGGCCCGAGATGCTCAAGTGCGACCAGTTCCCGCAGGATGACGTCTGCATCGCCATGACGGCACCCAATGCCACCGAGGCGTCCAAACCGCAAGGTGAGTGGCCTTTTCATGGGAGCTTGGGGAACCGTTGCGGGCCAGGAGATCCCAAGAGATGAGATGTCCCAACGTGAAAAGTAACCTTCTCCTAGTAGTACTTACCTATTTAGGCGATCCTTCATTTTCCGAGGATGATGGCCTTCCAAGTGTAGGGCCTTGGCGGTGGGTCCGTTGGTGGCTGCGGAGACCTAGTCTTAGAATCCTAGAATCCTAGAGTTGGAAGAGACCTCATGGACCATCCAGTCCAACCCTATTCTGCCAAGAAGCAGGGAAATTTGCGTTCAAAGCACCCCTGACAGATGACCATCCTGCCTCTGTTTCAAAGCCTCCAAAGGAGGAGCCTCCACCATACTGCAAGGCAGAGAGTTCCACTGCTGAACAGCTCTCACAGTCAGGAAGTTCTTCCTCACATTCAGGTGGAATCTCCTTTCTTGTAGTTTGAAGCCATTGCTCTGCGTCCTAGTCTCCAAGGAAGCACAAAACAAGCTTGCTCCCTCCTCCTGAGGACTTCCCTTCATACTTGGCTCTCATAATGTCTCCTCTCAGCCTTCTCTACTGCAGGCTAAACATGCACAGCTTTTTAAGCCGCTCCTCATAGGGCTTGTTCTCCAGACCCTTGATCATTTTAGTCACCCTACTCTGGACACATTCCTGCTTAGAATCATCTTCTTCCTTAAATTGTGGTACCCAGAATTGGCCACCGTGGGATTCCACATGTGTTCTGACCAAGTCAGAATAGAGCATGGGAAGCATGACTTCCCTGGATCTAGACACTAGACTCCTCTTGTTGCAGGCCAAGATCCCATTGTCTTGATCTGCATGTTTTTCCGCAGTGGAGACATCGGTTTCCAGGTGGAAGGCAGTCCTGGTCACGGTTGGCTTGACATGCCTTCCTCTTGGCACACTTCTCCGTTTTGCTCCCCACTCATGCCTCTTCGAATTCCACAGCACTGCTGGTCCTGGAGATTAGGACAAGGAACAATGTCTTCAAACTACAAGAAAGGAGATTCCATCTGAACATGAGCAAGAACTTCCTGACTGTGAGAGCTGTTCAGCAGTGGAACTCTCTGCCCCGGAGTGTGGTGGAGGCTCCTTCTTTGGAAGCTTTGAAACAGAGGCTGGATGGCCATCTGTCAGTGGTACTTTGAATGCAACATTCCTGCTTCTTGGCAGAATGGGGTTGGACTGGATGGCCCATGAGGTCTCTTCCAACTCTAGGACTCTATGATTCTATGACTATGAGAGCTGTTCAGCAGTGGAACTCTCTACCCTGTAGTGTTTTGGAGGCTCCTTCTTTGGAAGCTTTTAAACAGAGGCTGGATGGCCATCTGTCAGAGGTGATTTGAATGCAATATTCCTGCTTCTTGGCAGAATGGGGTTGGACTGGATGGCCCAGGAGGTCTCTTCCAACTCTTGATTGTATGATTCTATGATGTTGTGTTTATTGATGTTTTGTTTGATGTATTGTGGGCTTGGCCTCATGTAAGCCGCACCGAGTCCCTTGGGGAGATGGTAGCGGGGTACAAATAGTTTATTTATTATTATTATTATTAGTAGTATTATTTATTAGTTGAAGGAGCCCAGTGTGAAATCCTAGGGAACGTTTCCTAAGGTCCCTTCTACACTTCCTTATAAAATCCAGATTATCTGCTTTGAACTGGATTATATTGCAGTGTAGACTCAAATAATCCAGGTCAACTCAGATCATTTGAATTACCTGCTTTGAGAATCTGGATTATATGGGCAGTGTGTAAGGGCCCTATGCCCAGGTAGACAAGTCCAGGTTTAGATTAATTCTCACTGGATGGTCCCACAGTTCAGATATTTACTTTTGGATGACAATTCCCAGAATCCTCCAGAGAGCATGAAGGAGTTGGAACTCAAATGATCTTCATACAAAAAAGTAATCGAGTCAAGTTCTGGTTTTGCTCATGGGAGAGAGCTGCTGCTGATAAGCAAATCTGGCAATGTTCTTGCAAGAGGGAATGGATCATGAGACAGACTGCCATTCATGCAAGCGTGGAATGCCAGACCTTCCCTCTATTGCAGTGTTTCTCAACCTAGGGGTCGGGACCCCTGGGGGGGGGTCACGAGGGGGTGTCAGAGGGGTCGCCAAAGACAATGAGAAAACACAGTATTTTCCATTGGTCGTGGGGGTTCCTTGTGCTGAGTTTTGCCCAGTTCTATCATTGGTGGAGTTCAAAATGCTCTTTGATTGTAGGTGAACTATAAATCCCAGCCACTACAACTCCCAAATGTCAAGGTCTATCTTTCCCAAACCGCACCAGTGTTCACATTTGGGCATATTGAGTATTCGTACCAAGTTTCATCCAGATCCATCATTGTTTGAGTCCACAACAATGGACTCTGGATGGAGGTGAACTACAACTCCAAAACTCAAGGTCAATGCCCACCAAACCCTTCCAGTATTTTCTGTTAGTCATGGGAGTTCTGTGTGCTAAGTTTGGTTCAGTTCCATCATTGGTGGAGTTCAGAATGCTCTGTTATTGTAGGTGAACTATAAATCCCAGCAACTACAACTCCCAAATGTCAAGGTCTATCTTCCCCAAACCGCACCAGTGTCCACACTTGGGCATATTGAGTATTCATGCCAAGCTTGGTCCAGATGCATCGGAGTTCTCTGGATGTGGGTAAACTACAACTCCAAAACCCAAGGTCAATGCCCACCAAAAACTTCTAGTATTTTCTGTTGGTCATGGAAGCTCTGTGTCCAAAGTTTGGTTCAATTCCATCGTTGGTGGAGTTTAGAATGCTCTTTGATTATACAAATCCCAGCCACTACAACTCCCAAATGTCAAGGTCTATCTTCCCCAAACCGCACCAGTGTCCACACTTGGGCATATTGAGTATTCATGCCAAGCTTGGTCCAGATGCATCGGAGTTCTCTGGATGTGGGTAAATGACAACTCCAAAACCCAAGGTCAATGCCCACCAAATACTTCTGGTATTTTCTGTTGGTCAAGGGAGCTCTGTGTCCAAAGTTTGGTTCAATTCCATCATTGGCGGAGTTCAGAATGCTCTTTGATATTGTAAGTGAACTATAAATCCCAGCAATTACAACTCCCAAATGACCCCAAATAACCCAAATGACAAAATCAATCCTCCCCTCAATCCCACCAGTATTTAAATTGGGGCGTATTGAGTATTTGTGCCAAATGAATGAAAATACATCCTGCATACCGGATATTTACAAGATGATTCATAACAGGAGCAAAATTATAGTTGTGAAGTAGCAATGAAAATAATGTTATGGTTGGGGGTCACCACAACATAAGGAACTGTATTAAGGGGTCACGGCATTCGGAAGGTTGAGAACCACTGCTCTATTGCCATGATACCTGGGGCTGGTGGGAGTTATATTCCCCAGATATCTGCACAGAACCCATTCGGGGAAGGCTGTTGAGCTCCTTTGTCATTGCGTTGTTGATGTCTTTCATGTCTGGAACTACTGGGTTGCTGTGAGTTTTCCGGGCTGCCTGGCCATGTTCCAGAAGCATTCTCTCCTGACGTTTCACCCACATCTTTGGCAAGCATGCTCAGAGATAGTGAGGTTTGTTGGAAAATAGGCAAGTGGGGTTTATATATTTGTGGGTATCCAGGAAACAATCAGGGCCGGCCAACAGTCTCTAACAAATAAGTCCCCCAGGCGGGGAGCAGCCAGGCTTTGAAGCTGCAAGGCTATTCAATGCTAAGATGGCCAGTGGCAACATTCACACTTGCCTCCAACAGACAAGAGTTCTTTTTCCCACTCTGGACATCATTCCACAGATATATAGACCTCAATTGCCTAGTTTCCAACGGACCTCACAACTGGGTTGTTGTAGGTTTTTTCGGATTATATGGCCATGGTCTAGAGGCATTCTCTCCTGACGTTTCACCTGCATCTATGGCAAGCATCCTCTGAGGATGCAGGTGAAACGTCAGGAGAGAATGCCTCTAGACCATGGCCATATAGCCCGAAAAAACCTACAACAACCCAGTGATTCTGGCCATGAAAGCCTTCGACAAGACCTCACTACCTTTGAGGGTTCTGTGTGCCAAGTTTGGTTCAGGTACATCAGTGGTGGAGTTCAGAGTGCTCTTTGATTGTAGGTGAACTATAAATCCCAGCAACTACAACTCCCAAATGTCAAGGTCTATTTTCCCCAAACTCCACCAGTGTTCATATTTGGGAATATTGAGTATTTGTGCCAAGTTTGGTCCAGATCTATCATTGTTTGAGTCTCTGGATAAAGGTAAACTACAACTCCCAAACTCAAGGTCAATGCCCATCAAACCCTTCCAATATTTTCTGTTGGTCATGGGAGTTTTGTGTACCAAGTTTGGTTGAATTCCATTGTTGGTGGAGTTCAGAATGGTCTTAGATTGCAGGTGAACTACAAATCCCAGCAACTACAAGTCCCAAATGACAAAATTAACCCCCCCCCCCCAACCCCACCCGTATTCAAATTTGGGCGTATTGGGTATTTGTGCCAAATTTGGTCTAGTGGATGAGAATACACCCTGCATATCCGATATTTACATGACAATTCAGAACAGGAGCAAAATTACAGTTGTGAAGTAGCAACAAAAATAATGTGATGGTTGGGGGTCACCACAACATGAGGAACTGTATTAAGTGGTCGCGGAATTAGGAAGGTTTAGAAACACTGCTCTGGAGTCACAGGAGTTGCAGCTTTGCAAGGTCTTTAGTCTTCTCTGTCAGAGAATGCAGGTGCCTCACTAAACTACAAACTTCATAACTCAATTGAGTTTTTTTGTTGTAGTGCCAGGAGCGACTTGAGAAACTGCAAGTCGCTTCTGGTGTGAGAGAATTGGTCGTCTGCAAGGACGTTGCCCAGGGGACGCCCGGATGATTTGATGTTTTTGTCATCCTTGTGGGAGGCTTCTTCATGTCCCCGCATGAGGAGGTGGAGCTGATAGAGGGAGCTCATCCACCTCTCCCTGTCGGTCTTCAGTCCTGCCAGCACAGGGGT